TGCATTATTTTCTTCTGGGTTTTTTTGTTTTGTTTTGTTTCTCAATTTTTCTTTTTTCCCTTTTTCCTCTAAATACTAGCGGGATCTCAGATGAGCTTCCAGATAAAGACAAAGTAGGAAGAAGGAGAGACAAACTACTTCTGAATATTCAGTTACTGAAAACCTTACAAACAGCAGAGAAACACTGTCAGATAGGGTTTGTCATTGCCAGAAAATGATTCCCTCAGGTTAGAAGGCACTCAAAATGTGACTAGCAAAGAATCGCCTCCTCAAAATAGAGTTGATGGTGATGATGTGAATGGAGTAAAGCCTGTGGGAGTAAAGCCCATGGGACCTTCATTTGCTGATGGGGAACAACTCAAAATGAAGAGAAACAGCTGTACGCATTCATTAATAATCAGAGCATGGACTATACGAAGTATGAATCTAGGAAAATTGGAAATTGTCAAAAATGAAATGTAACAAAAAAGCATTGATATCTTAGGCATTAATGGACTGGTATTGGACATTTTGAATCTGACAACCACATGGTTTACTAGGCTGGGAATGACATATTGAAGAAGAATGGTGTTACATTCAGTGTCAAAAGAACATATCAAGATCTGCCATGAGGTAAAATGTTGTCTGTGATAAGATAATATCCATGTGCCCGCAAGGAAGACCGGTTAATACCACAACTATTCAAATTAATATACCAACCACTAAAGCCAGTGAGGATGAAATGGAAGAATTGTACCAACTTCTCTCTGAAATTGATCAAGTATGCATTTAAGATATATTGATAATCACTGGCAATTGAAATGCAAAGAATGGAACCAAAGAAGGGGATCAGTAGTTGGAAAATCTGACCTTGGTGATAGAAATGATGCTGAAGATCATATGATTGAATTCTGCAAAACCAATGATTTATTCACTTCAAATACCTTTTTTAAATAGGATAAGAGATAACTATACACATGGATCTCATCAGGTGGAATGCAAAGAAATCAAATTGACTACATATGTGGAAAGAGATGGTGGAAAAGTTCCATATCATTAGCCAAAACAAGGCCAGGGGCAGATTGTGGAACAGACCATCAATTGCTCATGTGCAAATTCAGACTGATACTGAAGAAAATGAAAACAAGTGTACGAGAGCCAAAATATGACCTTGAATCTATCCCACCTGGTTTAAGGGATTATCTGAATAACAGATTTGATACATTAGATACTAAAGACTGAAGACCAGGAGAGTTGTGGCATGACATCGTGAACAACCTACAGAAAGAATGCAGAGTCATTAAGAATACATGTAAGAGGGAAAAGATAAAAACTGATGTCAGAAGGAACTCTGAGACTTGCTCTCAAGCATAGAGATGCTAAAGCAATGGAAGAAATGAGGAGGTAAAAGAGTTAAACAGAAAATTTCAAAGGTGAGCTCAAGAAGACAAAGTCAAATATTACAACAAAGTGTGTAAAGATCTGGAGTTATAAAACCAAAAGGGGAAAATACACTGAGCATTTCTCAAGCTGAGGGAACTGAAGAAAAAAATTCAATCTTCTGCTTTCATTATTGAAGGACTCTTCTGTATGGATTGCCTCTCAACATAAAGAAAACGAAACTCCTCACCACTGGACCAATAAACAGCATTTTTATCAATGAAGAAAAGATTGAAGTTGTCAAGGACTTCACTCTTCTTGAATCAACTATCAACACTCATGGAAGCAGCAGTCAAGAAGTCAAATGAAATATTGCATTAGGCAAATCTGCTACAAAAGATCTTTTGAAAATGTTGAAGAGCAAATATGTCGGCTTGAGGACTAAGGTGTGCCTGACCCAAGCCATGGTATTTTCAATAACTTCATATGCATGCGAAAGCTGGACAGTGAATAAGGAAGACCATAGAAGAATTGATGCTTTTGAGTTATGGTTTTGGAGAAGAATGTTGAAAGTGCCATGGGCTGCCAAAAGAACCAACAGATCTGTGTTGGAAGAATGCTCCTTGGAGGCCAGGATTGCCAAACTTTGTCTCTCATACTTCGGACATATTGTCAGGAGGGACCAGTCTCTGGAGAAGGATATCATGTTTGGTAGGGTATAGAGAAAAAGAGGCACTCCCCCAACTAGATAGATTGGCAAAAAGACAGCATCAATGGGCTCAAGCATGGCAACGATAGTGAGGTTGGCCCAGGATTGGGCAGTATTTACTTCTACTGTGCATAAGGTCTCTATGAGTCAGTACCAACTCGATGGCACTTAATAACAACAACAACAACAATATGGGAAAATTGTTGAATGGTGCAGAAAGCATCAAAACAAGATGAAAGGAATACACAGAGTAACTGTACCAAAAGGAAATGGTCAATATTCGACCGTTTCAAGAAGTAGCATATGAACAAAAGCCAATGATATTAAAGGATATATTCCAAATTGAATAGAAGGAATTGGCAAAGAACAAGGCACCAGGTATTGATAGAATATAACCCTAAATATTTCAGCAAAGTGAGGTGGCACTGCAGGTACTAATCAATGGCCAGAAGATTGGAAGACAACTATCTGGCTGAGTGGAAAAGATTTGTATTTGTGCCCATTCCATAGATAGGTGACCCAACGTATTGCGGAAATCATTGGGCAATCTCTTTGATATCCCATACAAGTAAAGGTTTATTAAACGTAATGAAGAAATGGCTGCAAGCATTCATTGACAGAGAACTTCCAGAGGTTCAAGCTGGATTTGGAAGAGGACATGGAATGAGGGATATCATTGGTCATGTCCGATAGATCTTGGCTGAAAGCAGAGGATAGTAGAAAGATGTTTACCTGTGCTTTATTGACTACACAAATTCTGCGATTGTGTGGATCATGACAAGTTGTGGACAACATTGCGAAGTCTGAGTATTACTGAACACTTAATTGTGCTCATGAGAAATTTGGGTTATGGTGTTGGAGGAGAATACTAAAAGTCCCATGAGCTTCCAAAAGAGCAAACAGATCTGTTTTGGAAGAAGTACAGCCAGAGTGCTCCTTGGAGGCCAGGATGGCTAGACTTCATCTCTCATATTTCAGATATATTGTCAGAAGGGAGCAATCACTGGAGAAGGATATCATGTTTGGTAAGGTGCAGGGTCAGAGAAAAACAGGAAGACTCTCAGTGAGATGGATTGGTATAGTGGTAGCATCAATGGGCTCAAGCGTGGCAACAATTGTGAGGTTAGCCCATGACTGGGCAGTGTTTCATTCTGTTGTGCATAGGGTCACTATGAGTCGGTACCGACTCAATATCACCTAATAACAGCATACCAAAACTTTGGTTTGACACTGTAGAATAAGCTAACCATAAGACTGGCAGTTCAAACCCACTAGCTGCTCTTGAAAATAGATTCACTATGAGTTAGAATAAACTCAACGACATACATAAACAACACCATACATGTATTAAAGAGCTCTGGGGTACAGTGGTGGTGGTGGTTATATGCCGTGGAGTCGGATCTGACTCATAGCTACCCTGTACAGGGTATTCGAAGCTGTAAATCTTTACTGGAGCAGAAAACCTCATCTTTCTCACGCAGAAGTGCTGGCAGTTTCGAACAGCTGACCTTGAGGCTCACAGCCCTACTAACTGCAAGTTCAGCAGTGTGAATCCATCAGCTGCTTCATGTGAGAAAGATGAGGCTTTCTAGTCTTATAAAGGCTTACACCATTGTAAACCCCATGTAAAGTCATTATCAGAAGGAACAAACTTGATAGCACACAACCACCATAGAAGGTGTTATTAGAAATAGAAGCAGTCATTAAAAAGCTTCATATATACATATATGTATGCAAAAACAATGTGCATAAAGTAGTAGCCCAAAAGAGGGAACAAATCTTTACAGTGAGGATCGTTCCCACCCCCTTGGCACACAGGGTAGACAGGTATGGGCAACTTACACATTGGCTACTCAAAATGGGAGAGCTACAAAGACAAGAAGTGACTGGTTTACAAGCTTTCAAGAGGGAGCCTAGTTACAGAGGGTGTGGGGGAAGGTAGACTCTCCACTGGGTGGTTTCCAATCTACCTGGATGGGGCTGATGAAAGCAGATGGAGATAAGACTCTTGTGGTACAATAGTGAATAATTGTTATCAGGAATGACTGTGAGGGTTTTAAATGTGAAGGTGGACATTTTGTAACAAAAGGAGGCAAGTGGTTGATTTTGTAGTCCAGGAGCAGAGGTACCTGGGATCATCAGGGGAGAAGAGTGGAGTGCGGGACCCTACCCAGAGAAGAAGTGATGCTAGAGATGGAGGCAGAGACAATGACATGGAGAGATGGAGTGGCTGGGGACTCTAGAAGCAGGGAGGGAGTGGGGAAAAACAAAACAAAAACATGCATGTTGGATTATTATTTTTTTTTTTAATTAAAAGAGAAATCTACAATTTTTCATGTAGCTTTTTGTGTCCTAGATTCAATAAATAACTGTTCACATTTTAATGGAAGTAGCTAAACACATTTATTAGAGTGTATGTCATTTATAAAGCACTCTGATATTGTAGTGGTTACAAGTCAGGCTGCTAACCTAAACCTAAAGCTCAGCAGTTTGAAATCATCAGTCGTTTCACTGGAGAAAGATGATGCTTTCTCCTCTGTAAAGATTTATTGCCTCCCAAACCCTACACAGGGTTGCTAGGAGTCAGAACCAATTCCACAACAAACCACCACTACCATATAGGTCACATGTTTAAACTACTGCCTGATACAAACTTTTATAATATGGTATTCCACTTTGTATATACTTATGTTCTTTAAGGCAAACCATTGAATTCTAGAATTTTGTCTCTTTACAAAGTTACATGATAAATGGTACATTTTTACATCTTAAACTTACTTCTGAAATCACGAACTGTGAAATTTGGTTTGATGGCAGCCTCTGGTGATAATCTGAAGGACAACTGCTGCCCAGCAGGTGAAAGATCTCTGTCTGCAGCACTGACTACCTGAATTATCTGAAACAAAGTCAAGATTAAACTTGAAGTCAGTTATCAGTTTCAAATGGGACTTCACATACCAGGTTATTAAGTTTATTTAATGAAGTATGGAAATCAATAGATAGGACTATTTTAGGATTCATGTCAGTAGGCCAATTATTTACACACAACTTTTATAAACAAATCTCCTATAATTTACAGGTAACAATGGCAAGCAAGAAGATGACAGGGAATGGTCTCATTTTAAATCAATATCTGCTTAAATAAAGTGCTTAACAACACAGAAACTTTTCACTGATAAGCAAAACAAAATGAAAATTCATTGGTTTGCATTTTAAATTAGAGAAAATAAATGCTTTCATAGTCTAAAAAGGAAAATGCTTACTGAAAACAAAATCTCTATTTAAAAGCCCTTGTGACAGCAAAATTTTAATACATGTATATTTGTGAGAATTAGGTTTACTTTCATAAAAAATAAAATACAGAGAGAAACAAAGAATGTATATCTGTTTTTGTTATGTTTGTTTCCCCACATGGGGTAGGGGAAAGGTTGTGTTTTCATAGATTGTTTTAAAAGGTAAGTGTTTTCATCCCTGCTCCAAATTTCTTCCTAAATTGTTCCAATCATCTGTAAATCTTTCAGTTAAAATTCTAGCGCTTCAATATGATGTGTTTCAATAGAATTTTCTAGAACAAGACCTTGAATTCCAAGTACTATATTCTTGGAATATAGACTCAGTGTGTAAATATGCCTCAGGGCATCTACATTGATGTTATTAAACATGCATTTTGTCTACTGCTTATTGTTCTGATTTCATGGTTAAAGTGCAATCTTATGTCTATGATCAACCTTCCCATATAGCTGAACCTAAAGAACAAAAGCATTTTTTAAAAGTAAACATCACCAAGACTTTGAATGTTCAAGTATTGTATTAGAAATTTGTGATTTAACAAATTGACCCTCGTGGATCAATTTTCCAGTATATATTCACCCTTTTGAGTCATCATAGATTAGATGCTCATCATTCAACACCAAAGGCAAGATAATGAATAAAGTGATGACAGCGTGGCAGCAGCAATGGGATCTAGTGTAACAATTGTGAGGGTGGTGCAGGATCTGGCAGTGTTTCCTTCTGTTGTGCAGAGGGTCTCAATGATTCATAACCTGCTCCATGACACCTAACAATAACAAGTTACTAGACAAACACATATTTCTTGGATCAACCACTCATGGATGCAGCAGTCAAGAAAACAAACAAGTATTGCATTAGGCAAATCTGCCGCACAAGACCTTTTTAAAGCATTGATAAACAAAGATTTCAGCTTAAGGACTAAGGTGTGCCTGACCCAAGCCACAGTATTTTCAATACCTGCATATGAATGTGAAAGTTGGACAGTGAATAAGGAAGACCATAGAAGAATTGATGCTTTTGAGAGTTATGGTGTTGGAGGAAAATATTGAAAGTACCATGGGCTGCCAAAATAACAAACAGATCTGTGTTGGAAGAAGTACAGCCAGAGTGCTCCTTGGAGACCAGGATGGCCAGATTTCATCTCTCATACTTCAGATATATTGTCAGGAGGGGCAAGTCACTGCAGAAGGATCTCATGTTTGGTAAGGTGGAGGGTCAGAGAAAAAGAAGAAGACCCCCAGTGAGATGGATTGGCAAAGTGGCAGAGTCAATGGGCTCAAGGGTGACAACAGTTGTGAGCTTGGCCCAGGACTGAGCAGCGTTTTGTTCTGTTGTGCATAGGGTCACTATGAGTCGGTGCCAACTTGATAGTACCTAAAAACAACAATAACAACAACAAGACAAACACACAGGCACTAAATGGACCCTTATTACACAAACAACTATCATTTAGCACAGTACACAATATTGATTGATGTGAAATCATTAATTGCATAATTACCTATTAATCAATGATTGGAGGGTTTTTTGGGGGGAGGGGGGAAGGAAGTATAGAAACTGTGGGAGTACTAGTGTGGCTCTGTGGGTTAATGCACTGGACTGCAAGATTGGTTTGAACAGCAAGGTCAGCTGTTCAAACTCACCAGGTGCTCCTCTGATACCCTATACAGGATTGTTGTTATCAAAATTGACTCAATGGTACTTAGCAATCAACCAGAACAACATAGAAAGTATAAAATGTAGATTTTATAAAATTCTTCTAAGTTTCCAAAAGTGTTATTATTTGGGTGCAAACGTCTATTAAACATCTATTGTTTCAAACATTGAAATAAGGCAATAGGATCATTCCTGCAAATGAGGAGTGCAACTAAGGAAGAAAAGGGTAAAAATATTAAGTGCATTTCTATGCCAGTTCAATAAGAAAGATGCAACACTCCTTATTTGGGAAAACAGGACAAATCATTCATGTCATAATACAATTTCTGTTTTCCCAAAGTTAACAAAGTATTAGATCAGTATAGTCCAATAGATATGAGTGTGCTGATGAAAATATTATTTATCACACTGATCTAAATGTACGTAAAATGGAGCTACAGTAAAAAAGAAAACTGATTTAACTTTCACATTAATTTCGTTGCAATAATAATGTGTGTCTAGTGGACATCACAGAATTAGTGCCATGGGGCAAGTGTTCTACTAAATGGAAAAACAAAACACTGAAGAAGAACATTGGCATTTTTTTCAGATAAGAATTAAAATTTCTCAAAGTCACATAAGTGAGTAATTACCTATTAATGATAATTAGGGTATATTACAAACCAAAGCATACTGATTTATTTGTCTTCTGAAACTTAAGGAAATCATATTGGGTTAGTAGTATCCTTTCTTCATGATACAATCTCATCATGTAGCATTTTTTTTTAATGTATTATTGTGAATTCTGTGGTAGTTATAGTCTAAATGGGAGACTATACATTCTTCCTATTGTATATAATTTCATTGCCATGGTTACAATCCCCTCCATACATCATCAACCAACCAAAGGGTATATGCTGCAAGCCTGCCCCCCTGTCATCAGTACACAGTCCCTTTCCCTCTCTGCGTCTAGAGTCCCCAGCTGCTCCATCTCTCCATGTCATCTTCTCTGCCTCCATGTCTGGCATCACTGTTTCTCTGGGTAGGGTCCCCCACTCCACTCTTCTCCCTTGATGGTCCCAGGGACCTCCGCTCCTGGACTGCAATTCAATCACTTCCCTCGTTGCTACAAAATGTCTACCTTTACTATTCCAACCCTCAACAGTCAGTCCTGATAACAATTATTCACTATTATACCACAAGAGACCTATTCCAAACTCCTTTCATCAGCCCCACCCAGACAAATTGGATACTACTCAGTGAAGATTCTACCTTCCTCCGTGCCCTCTGGATCTAGGTTCCCTCTTGAAAGCTTGTAAGCCAGTCACTTCTTGCCTTTGTAGCTCCCCCCCCGCCCCTGCCCATTTTGGGTAGCCAATGTCCAAGTTGCCCATCCCTGTCTAGTCTGTGTATGGAGTGGGTGGAAATGATCCACGATGTAAAGATGTGTTCCCTCTTTTGAGCCACTGCATCCATAGGTGTAGGTCAAGTTTGTCAATTTTATCATATTACTCCTTTCTTTCCTCTTCTTTCTTCTTCTAGTTGAGCTCTGATCATCCAGTCATTGGAGCCAGGTCAAGTGGGTATTATCTGCAAGTGTGGGTGTTCTTATGCGTATGCCCTCTCTTCTTATCAGCTGAACACATCACTCTCCACTCTAGTGTTGTGTGGCTATGTCACTGACTCTGGGCCCAAGAATCCCCAGGTCTTGTCACACTGCTGGCCAACCAGGTCTCCACCTGGGTTTACAGGAGTTTATTGAATACTGTAGGGCTTATGTAGCAGCTTCATTGCAGTTTTTCCCTCACTTCCCCTTATCTGCAATGAATGTGGTCACCAAATAGAGAGCATGACTGCTTGTGTATTCCCATTGAGTCTTAGTCCTGGAAAGGGGTTTGCCCTGAAGGGACCCAACCACTTGCCTTGATGTCTCCTGGGTGAGTAATTTGCTTGTTCTTGTAGTTATCAGTCGGATTGCCATTATTTTTTGTATTTTTCTGTCGGTCTTTCTTTCAAGAAGTATCTTCAGTTCTTCTAGCTGCTCCAGGCTGGTCTGCTTGTCCTTTCAAGTGGAAATTTCCCACCTCTGAAGATTCTGGATGAGGTTCAGGATTCCACCCAAGGTCTTATGTGATACAAAGGCTCCACAGGATGTCTCCTTCACTGGGCACATTGTTGCCCCATTTTAGGTATTCCAATCAGTTATAGGAAGAAGACAGACTTACAAGCTTTCTATGGTGATATTTCTAGCTATTCCTTTATGTTCCCCTCAAGTGTCTATTTTATAATGGTATGCAAGGGAAACCAAGATTCAAAAGACAGCCAAGCATCTTAACACAAATTTCCTCCTTTTCCCCATTCCAACCTTGTCTCTGTGTCCCTGTATCCCAGAGGCCTGTTGTTCCAAGGTTGTGCATACATCATTCTTTACCTCTGCCCCATTTAGCCCATGTAAACCTACCGAACTGTTTTCCCAGCTGCCTGTTTCTTCCATTCCCTTCCCACTTCCTGTGTATTGCCGTGCCACCACCACCCCCAGCACCCAAGCTATCCTGTGTCTTTTTCCTACCCTGTGCTTCACCTTCTGACCCCCCCCTCACCCCACCCCTGTGCATCCCGGTAACCAGCAAAGGATCCCCCCTTCCTTTAGCAAGGGTTCTTTTTCTTAGTCTTTTACAGTAGTGGTCCTATGCAGTATTTCTCCTTTTGTGACTGACTAATTTCACTCAACATAATGTCCTCAAGGTTCATCCATGTTATGTGATAGCTTACAGCTTCCTTGTTATTCTTCAAGGTAGCATACTATTCCATTGTGTGTATGTACCACTGTTTGTTTATCCATTCTTCCATTGATGGGCACTTCGACTGTCTCCATCTTTTTGCTATTATAAATGTTTGTAGTCATTCTTGATTCTCTTTAAATGATTCACTCATTAAGTCCTTTAAAATAGTGTTAAAAAAATTGCTACCTACTACCACTCCAATTAAAACTCAGGACTTGGACTACAACTATGCAGTCTTTCTCCATAGCTTCTACTTAGCAATGGTGATATTTACCTAATAAGGAACATGCATTTAAGACATTTTATACAATACAAATGTTCTCTATGGGACCACAGCGAAAGAAAGTTTTACATTTTCAGTAAGCTTAAGCCTTTTTTTTTTTTTTTTTTTTTTTTTCAATTCCTTCAAGAAAACATGTAATCAAAGCAAAAGATATTCTGGAAGAATGCACACTGATGTTACTTGCTTACTGAGTTTATAGTGACTTACTAACCCTCAGTAAGGAGCTCTGGTAGCATAATTGTTACAAATCAGGCTGCTTATCTCAAGTTCAGCAGTTTGAAACTACCAGCTATTCCACGAGAAAAGATGAGGCTTTCTGCTCCCGTAAAGATTTACAGCCTTGGAAACCCTGTGTAGGGTTGCTATGGGTCAGAACCAACTCAATGACACTTTACAACAACAAAAAACTTGCTCACAGTAAGGGAGCTCATCAATGTATTGGAATCCACAGCTGTGGACCTTTAGTCATCCATGAATGTTCACTAGGTCACTGACTCGTTAGTCCCTGTCTTATTACTTTAATATCCATACATTGTTCTACTAATTTTTAAGAGTTTAATATTTTTATGCTATCTTTTATAAAGACAGTTGATCCAGAAAACTACTGTGTATTCATGTATGGATACATAACCTAAAACACAAGCAGACATTGGATCTTTATAAATTGTTACTTAACAATATTGGTACAATACCTGTCCTGGTTTGGCATTTTCACACACAGTTGTCTCATATGGTACAGATATTTCTGGTGGAAATTCATTGACATCTAGAACATTAATGACTACATTGACTTTGCTGGTTAATAATGGATTACCTATGAAAACATAAAAAGGAAAAATTATTAAAACATCTGATAAAATATTATTTCAACAGTAACTAGCAATTAAGTTTATAAAACTTAGTCTTCATTTACAATTCTAAAAATTCTTTCTAAAATAGGAGCCAGGATGGCCAGACTTTATATATTATACCTTGGACATATTATCAGGTTGGACCAGTCCCTGAAGAAGGATATTATGCTTGGTAAAATAGAGGGTCAGCAAAAAAGAGGAAGATCCCCAATGAGATGGATTGGCACAGAGGCAGCAGAAATGTGCTCAAGTGTGCAACAGTTGTGCGGTTGATTCAGGACCAGGCAAAGTTTGGTTGTATTGTGCATAAGGTCACTATGAGTCGGTACAGACTCGCTGTATCTAACAACAATAGGGAACTCTGAGTCTGCTATGCCAATGACAAGATGAAAACAAATGTGTAGGGATGAAAATAACCATCATTGGTTAGCTGTCAGAATACTAGAATTGCACTAAGTCAGAGTTTTTCTTCAAAGTTCACCCATCACAGTAAGGTCAACAATTTGAATGATATTTTATAACACGTGCAGGGCATTTTCGGAACACTGGTGGCTCACTGGTCAAGTGTTCAATTGCTAACACAAAGGTTGGTGATCTGAACCCACTGGTTACTCCATGGGAAAAGATGTGGATGTCAGATTCCCTGAAAATCAAAGCCTTCAAAGCCCTATGGAGTAGCTCTACTCTGATTTATAGGGTCACTATGAGTCAACATTGTGAAGTATAAGTATTCCGGAACACTTAATTGTGCTCGTGAGGAATCTGTACATGGACCAAGAGACAGTTATTTGCACAGAACATGGGAACACTGAATGTTTTAAAATAAAAAAAAAAAGGTGTGTGATAAGGTTGTATTCTTTCATCATACTTATTCAACCTGTATGCTGAGCAAATAATCCAAGAAGTCGGGTTCTATGAAGAAAAACGTGGATCAGGATTGGAGGAAGACTCATTAACAACCTGCAATATGCAGATGATACAACCTTGCTTGCTGAAAGTGAAGAGGACTTAAAACATTTACTGATGAAGATTAAAGAGCACAGCCTTTAGTATGGATTGCATCTCAATGTAAAGAAAACAAAAATCCTCACCACTGGACCAATATAAAACATTCTCATCAGTGGAGAAAAGATTGAAGTTGTCAAAGACTTCATTCTTCTTGGATCAACTATCAACACTCACGAAAGTAGCAGTCAAGAGATCAAATGGCGTAATGCATTAGGCAAATCTGCTGCACAAGACCTTTCTAAAGTGTTGAAGAGCAAAGATGACAGCTTGAGGACTAAGTTGTGCCTGACCCAAGCCATGGTATTTTCAATAACATCATACGCATGTGAAAGTTGGACAATGAATAAAGGAATTCCGTAGAAGAATTGATGCCTTTGAGTTATGGTGTTGGAAGAGAATATTGAAAGTCCCATAGGCTGCCAAAAGAACCAATAGATCTATTTTGGAAGAAGTGTAGCCAGAGTGCTCCTTAGAGGCCAAGATGGCCAAACTTCGTCTCTGATACTTGGGGCATATTGTCAGGAGGGACTAGTCACTGGAGAAGCATATCATGTTTGGTAAGATGGAGGGTCAGAGAAAAAGAGGAAGACTCCCAATGAAATGGATTGGCCAAATGGCAGCATCGATGGACTCAAGCGTGGCAACAGTAGTGAGGTTGGTCCAGGATTGGGCAGTGTTTCATTCTGTTGTGCATAAGGTCGCTATGGGTCAGTACCAACTCAATGGCATCTAACAACAACAACACGAGCCAGAATCAACTTGATGGCAATGGCAATTTTCCGTGTAACAATCACATCAAGCTGATTTGACAAAATCAATCCTAGTCAACAGTGATATGTTTCAATACATATTTGCCTATGCTGTGCCATTTCGAATGTCAGTGAAAAAGAGTCAGACCGCTAACAAGATGGGGTAGCAGTGTCAGCAGTAATCAGCTCATACAAAACAATAATTGTGAAGATGGCACAGGACTGACCAGTGTTTTGCTCTGCTGTGCATAGGGTCACTGTGAGTTAGAACCAACTTGAGTTCACCTAAGGAGAAGTGTCCCTATTATTAAAAAGAAAAGAAAAGAAAAGAAAAACATTGTTAGATAGAATCATCTACATATTAAATTACTTTCTCAAAATCCTTCCTGGAGGTGGCAGCTTCTCCAGAGAAGAAGAAAGTTTCAAGGATGAAGCAGACAGGGCTTTTCAGAGATGAAAATTAGAATAGCAGATTTAAGGCAGTAAAAGTAAGAGACTACTAATGGAAAGTTAGTCTACAGCCTTATTTAATCTGATAAGAAAAAAGGAACGAGTAAGCAAAATTGTAAACCCTGCACAGGGTCGCTATGGGTCGGACCCGACTCGATGGCACTTAACAACAACAACAACAAGCAAAATTGTATTGAGGAATAATTTCTTGTGATAGCACTTAGGAGAGTATAAATTAAAACTGAGTCTCTAATCAAATCTCATCCCCAATTTTAACAATAAAATCCAACCATACTGTCACTGAGTCAATTCTGATGCATAATGACCCCATATATGGTTTCTGAAACTATTGAACTTTATGAGAGCAAACTCTCTTATCTTTCTCCTGGGGAGCCAGCAGTGAATTTCAAATGCCAATCTTGTGGTTAGCAGTCTAGTGCTTATCTAACAGCATCAAAAGGATTTTTTAATCAGAGTAGCGATGTACCACCCACGTGTCTGTAGTTTGTCACACTGTGGGGGCTTGTATGCTGTTATGATGATGGATGAACACCACTAGTGCTTCAAACACTAGAAAGATCACCCTTGGTGAACACGTTTCAGTGAAGTATCCTAGAAATAGACCACTGTGTTCTTGTTAGGACCTGTTGAGTCAGTTTGACTCATAACAATCCTATACACAGCAGAACAAAACACTGCACGTCCTGCAGCATCCTCACAATTGTTGTTACACTTAGGTCCATTGCTGCCACTACAGGGTTAAACCATATTTTGAGGATCTTCCCTTTTGCAATTGACCCTCCACTTAACTAACCATGATATCCCTTTCCAGAGATTAATCCCTCTTCACAACATATCCAAAGAATGACAGACACATTCTGGTTGGACTTCTTCCAAAACAGATTTGTTTGTTCTTCTGGCATTCCCTGGTACATTCAATATTCTTTAGAAACACCATAAAGCAAAAGCATCGATTATTCTATGGTTATGCTCACTCACTGTCAAATTCCACAGGCATATATATTGTTGTTGTTACGTTCCACTGAGTTGGTGCTAAGTCACAGCCATGCTGTATAGGGTTTCCAAGGGCAACTGATGGGTTTCAACTTAAGACCTTGTGGTTACCAGTCTCAATCTTATCCTACAGCACAACACCAAGGCTCTCACATGTATGTGAGGCAACTGAAAATATGATGCATTTGTCCTCAAAATGACATCTTTGATCTTTAACACTTTAGAGAGTACTTTGTAGCAGATTTGCCTAATATAATATATCTTCTGATTTCTTAACTGCTGCTTCCATGACAGTTGATAGCAGATCCAAGCAAAATGAAGTTTTTAACAACTTCAATCTATTTGCCTTTTATCATATTATTTATTGGTCCAATTGTGATGATTTAAATTTTCTTTACATTAAAGTGAAATCCTTAGAGTAGAATATAGTATTTGATCTTCACCAATAAGTATTTTAAGTCTACTTTTAGAAAGCAAGTTTGTATCATGCTCATTAACCCAGACTGTTAATGAATCCTCTTCCAGTCCTGATGGCACGTTCTTTGGCATATAATCCAGTTTCTCAGATTATTTGATCAGCATACAGATTAAATAAGTATTGTGAAAGCCTAGAATCCTGTCACACACCTTTCTTGTTTTAAAAAAAAATCATCATTCCTTTTTTTTATGTTTTCATGATAGCTTCTTTGTCTACATACAGGTTTCTTGTGAGCACAATTAAGTGTTCTGGAATACCTATTCTTCATAATGTTTTCCATAGTTTTCCATAAGCCGCGCAATTGAAAGACTTTGCATAGCCAGTAAGGCACAAGAAAATATCTTTGTGGTATTCTGTGCTTTCAGTCAAGTTCCATTTGACTTTAACAATGATATCCCTACTTCCATGAATTAAATTCTATGGAGTTCTGGAAGCAGAGTGGTTTACATGTTAGGCTGCTTACTGTAAGGCCAGAAGTAGAAATACACCAGTCACTGCTCAGAAATCTTATACAGGGTCACTATGAGTTGGAACTAACTCAGAGTACTTAGCAACAAAAACAATGGATAAAATAGTGAATGATGCAGAAATCATTAAAAGAAAATGGAAGAAATACACAAAGTGACTATATCAAAAAGAAATGGTTGAAATTCAACCATTCCAAGAGGTAGCATATGATAAAGAACCAATGGTACTGAAGGAAAAATTCCAAATTGTGCATAAGGCCTTGACAAAGAACAAGGCTCCAAACATAAAAGAATTAAATTGAAATATTTTAACAAACTGTTGCAAAACTGGGAACTCCTACCAATCTGTACCAAGAGTCATGAGACACAGTTGCCTGACCAAATAACTAGAAGAGATCCAAATATGTGCCCATTCCAGAGAGTTGTGGCCCAAGGGAATGTGGCATCATTTAACAACATTATTAAAATAAAATGAAAGTAAAATTTTGGTGAAGATAATTTTTAAATGGCTACAATTGTATATTGACAGAAAAATGCCAGAAATTCAAGTCAGATTCATAAGAGGATGCGAAATAAGTGATGTCATTGTGGTTATCAGATGGATCTTGGCTGAATGTGCAGAATACCAGAAAGATATTTATTTGTGCTTTATTAACTATGCAAAAGCTTCTGACTGTGTGGACCAAATAAGCTATAGATAACATTCAAAAGAATAAATCTTCCACAACAATTTATTGTACTCATGAGGAGCTTGTGTATTAACCCAAAAGATGTATTTGGAACAAAAGAAGGCGATA